AATTATATGTTTCACTTGTGCTTAAAAGAAGCTGGGGTAAAAATTGAGGTATACAAAGTAATACAATGAGTAATTTCATTATTACGCATTACACAAAGTTGACAAACTCTTAATCTAATCATTATCCATTGTGCAAAGTTGTCAAACACTTACTTTAATCATTATGCAATAGCTATATAGGCATAGTAAAATAAAGATAAAAGATTACTTACATATAACCAAGGAAAGTTTGTGGTGGTAAACTGGCAAAGTACTCCAAAGGAAAAAAAATGTAATTCTCCATCGGTTCTGCAGTAAAGACTGAAATCTGATCTTCCAAGTATAGCTTAATTGACAGTGGCTCCTGATTGGACAGTAAGAGATCAACTTGGGGAGAGATGTGCCACACACTTTATTTCTGCAACAGGTTGGTCAAGTCTGTATGTTTTAAATATGCTAATTCAATGAACAAAATAAAAATCACCAAGAAGGTACAAATGAGGTTTACAGTGGTTCTGGTTAAGCTACAGTTCATAATGGTTGAGTAATTGATTATTTATCCAAATAAAAAATCCCCCAAAATATTTAAAAAATATTGTATTGATATAATAAACACTTGTATTATCACCAGGAGTGTGTGAATGATGTGTACAGTGATTTTGGTGAGGCTAAAATATATGAGAGTACAGTTATTGATTATCTTTTGTGCTATCTCTTTTCGTTATTGAAATTTGTAGACGGTCCCTACGCACTTGTTTCAACGCCGGTTGGTGGCGCAGTGGATGGCTTATTTAGATAAGTGTGAGGTTGTAGCTGGAGAGAGGCATTGGCTGTGTTTTTAAAATGTCCCGATTTTGAGTTATTGATACGGGAAGCGGAAATCTGTGAATATATTGCCAACTTTACTGCAGTGATGCTAGCATGGCTCCACAAGGTGACCAGCAGCCAATAATCGTAGAAGCTATTATTGTCATTCGCTCTTGGTGGTGCCCTCTCGAGCTGGAGCTTTGTCTATTAATACAGAAGGCAGGTTAGGATTCTGACCAGACACCAGCTGATGTGGGCTGTATCCATGGACACTTTGCATTGAGTTATTTGCCATCTGGGCCCAGTCCATGGCAGTGCTCCAGTCACATCCAGTACTTGCTTTGACTTTCAATAGGATCTCAGTCAGAGTTTGATTGTGGCGCTCTAACAATCCAATGCTCCACGGACTGTTAGCAGGTGTTGTCTTAACTTCAATATTAAATTTCTCGACCACGTCTCTTATTTCATCGTTATTAAACTCACAACCATTGTCACTGAACAACTTTTG